AGAAACGAAGGAGTGTAAGGTTAACACGAGGATAGACAGATACAATGGTATATTCGTTGTATCAAATAGTTCTACCTCGCAGCTTCCCTGGTTTCCTCCATGCCCTCCCCTACTACAGGCGCCAAGATTTTGTGATATAGGTTTCACGCACACAAAAATTCTTTAATATCTAATACTAGAGCACGCGATCCGTCGGCGCCTGTCGTTGTGATCTACGAAGACGCTCAAGTATTTGAAAGAAAAAAAGTCGCGTCGCTTTTCTATAAAGAGGAAGCATTGAAAAAGAGAGTGCACAGAAATAAAATAATGACGTAGTCCTTAAAGTAGTATTAATGATTATGATTATAATGGTAATAATATTGCTACCGATAATAATGTAAAAAATACATTAATAAAAGTAATGATCATGATGATGGTGATGATGGTTATCATTATGAAGGTGACGATCCAAGATAATGAACATGATCATGAAGCTCAATACGAAGACGATAATCATGATGACCAAGATGAAGATAATGGTCAAAATGATACTGATGATTATGGTAATCATGATGATCATGATGATCATGATAATGATGATCAAGATGATGATATTGATGATCATGATGAAGATGATCAAGATGATCATGATGATCATGATCAAGATGATGATATTGATGATCATGATGATCATGATGATGATCAAGATGATCATGATGATCAAGATGATCATGATGATCAAGATGATCATGATGATCATGTCTCCTGTGACCATCCTATAATTTCCCAGAATGTACAAATGAGAAATTAATTTTCATATGTGCGTCCGGGAAATTAAAACGCTTTATGAAATAGAGGGAAAAATCTATCCAACGATTTTCAAATGAAAAAAAAAAGTCTGAAGTAAACAGGTCATAAGTTAAAAGTTTCAAAACATTTAAAAGTAAAAATGGTTTGACAAATGAGCATGCACCGGCTGGGTACGATTTGCTATAACTTCAAGCGTTTTTTTTTTTTCTTTTCTTTTTTTTTTTACTGTCGATTGAAGTTCCTAGACCGGATAGTAATCAGTTTGGAGCAGACCACAAGTGTTTGCGATCGCATGAGAAAAAAATATCGGGTCACCTTATCATATTTTTTATCAAATATTCTAAGGAAATCATTCATTGATTAGAACAGGCTAACTGCTCACACAATTGGATAACAACACAGTCTTTGTCTTGAATATAATTTATTCGCCAAGAAGTGTACATGAATGTCTTTGATTTCCATAATTTCTGTCAAAATGTATTATATGAACCGGCCAGTTGAATTATCAGTAATATTCTTGTATAAAAAAAAAAGTAAGCAGGAAATAGATCTATGCCTATCCCTGCCCACCACCACCAAAAAAATAATAAAAAAAAGGATATATATATATAAATATATATATATATATATATATATATATATATATATATATGATATATATGTAATCTATTATTCTCAATTATAATTCATAACATATTTCAATAACTACAAAAAATATCAACACGGAAGTGAACGCCTCTTGGCTGACTTCACAACTCTTTGCAGCTTTGAAAACATATATATATATATATATATATATATATATGATATATATGTAATCTATTATTCTCAATTATAATTCATAACATATTTCAATAACTACAAAAAAGATCAACATGGAAGTGAACGCCTCTTGGCTGACTTCACAACTCTTTGCAGCTTTGAAAACATCTCTCAATATACTTCTATATGACAAAGTTGCAGCCACGTCACGTCCTGCATCTTCTGCACCGAGAGGAACCTGGACGTCACAGGGGCGGGAGACTCCAACACAATCACTTGGCTAAACTCAACAGCAGGTCCGGTAAAGTTTCCGAAGAACTGGTATGAACTGAAGTCTCCTGGGGTGGGTACGGCTGCCATGCCCACTCTCACCTCCACGTCAGCAATAGTCTTCAGCATGCTTAGTGAGCCATATGTCTGTGCGAAGAGCTTAACAAAGCGGAAAGTTATTGCAGTGCCGAAGTCCAGTGCAAACCAGGGGCGATTTAGATTGTTGTCCGTAGTGTAACATTTGTCATTATCATCCTGGTGGAAGATTCCATCTACAAGATTTTCCTTTATTCTCAAGGGAGTTTTAGGGTAAACTGGATTTCCCTCAATGGACGCCCCGACAACCAAGTCATTGAGGTGTCGTGTGTAGCAAGCAATTGCATCAGCCAAGTCGGCCTCTACATAAGCTGACGCTACCACCATGTCTGAGCCGAGGCACTCCTCAGGCGAGGCTCCCTGGCACCACATTTGACATTGAGGGTGAACAGCGGACTAAATCGGAGAGTCCTGAAGGAAGCTGGGCGAGTTCTGTGTTCTGTGAGCTCATCAGCGTCGTTCTAGAGACCTCCACTCTGCGAGAGAGGTTGGCGGTGACAGTAGCCACCGCTGCCAGCACAGACACCAATACCACCTTCATTACTGGGCTGCTGAGCAGATCCAGCCGTAAATGAAGGACGTCGCACAGGCTGGAGGGCGAGGCAGAGCGGCGGCCACTCAGCTGGTTGAGAGGACGTCTGGTGTGCAGTCTGCGGATAAAATCGCAGAGATATCACAAGAGTTCCTCAGATTTTTCAAAGTATGCATAATTATATATCTGATTAGTCTTAGGTAGAAGCGAACAAAAGAAAACATTCACGTTTCTTGGCACCAAAACAACTAAGAAAAATAATACCAATCACATACCAGTATCCCCACATTACATCTATTATTCTGTGACCACAGAATGTTGTAGAGCCAAAGTACCATGCATGTTACTGCCATACCATACCATGCACCCAGAGTAATTAATTGCCTTATAGTAGATCATACTTTTTATTGATACACTTCTGTATTATTCCAGAACATTTTTATGTTTCTCTCTCTCTCTTTCTCTTTCGCAATCCCAAATACTTACGATACTACAAGACGCCACAAAAGAACCTGCGCTACGTCTCTATCCACTGGCAGCTCGATGGTGTCTGTGGATGGGTAGTCATTTAGGCTTAACTGCAGTAGAGAGAGCTGGCTCCTTCCTTCGCTGCTCTTAAATATATCTTGAACTAATTTCTGAAAAAAAACTCAAACGAAGAAAAAAAAATCAAGCGAAGCGAACATGTACTCTGGAATGAGTTTTCGATAATAGTCATATTTCACTGTTGTGGAATGCAAGATGTGGCTTTGATCTTGTCTTCAAGATCAGGGGCGGATCCATAACTATTCTGAAGGGGGGGAGGGCAGTTGATAAAGGGGAGCGTTTATTAACCTTTGGTAATTAATTGATATTGTACCATCACTATGTTGCTGTAGGATATCAGTTTAGTTTACACCGTAGATCTTGCTCAATTTGAGTGGTTTGAAAATTGTTTATGAAAAGTTTTAGCCATGCTACTTTTTATACCCTGCCACTACCTCGACAGAGAAAGATTGTCAATCTCTGTTTTATACTGATTTGTTTTATAATGAGAATGAAAATTGCCGATTATATGTTCCGTTTTTGGATGAACCGAGGAATATGAAGCCCATGAGATTCTTCCGTCAGTATATCAAATGTCATTTCATAGAAAACCCGCACTTCCAACAGGGGGCGCCAGACCAGTTACAGAGCAGCGGGGGCTATACTGTCTCTAAACTATGGAAACTAAGGGAAAGAGAGAGAGAAAAAAAGATCACTCCGCACGCCTCGTCTGTCTTGAGAATTTTTTTTATTAGAAATAAAACAAAATGTTATGCGTGGTTTTAAAAATACAAAATGTGTCTGAACATTTTATCATTACCATTTTATCCGTTTATCTTTTTATTGCAAAAGAGTCTAGTGTGAGTTGCACTTTTTTCATGAAACTGGAAGCGGGGGTCTTCCGTGACTTCTCATATACCAATTACATACTTATTAGATTTAATTTTTCTTCCATCCGCACTGCCCCGTGACGACAGTGAGTCTATAAAATAAACAAATCCCTTAACGTCTGATACATTGGTATATTCGTTGTATCAAATAGTTCTACCTTCGTTCTGCTGTGTATACGTGGAGTAAGATTTCAAGAGGCTTGAGTGTGGGAACCCCTCTTTTTGCTGACGTTCTTCGCATAAATAATGTATACAGCCAACTTTAATTCATATTTCACCAGTTTCCCTGATTGCCTTCATGCCCTCCCCTACTACAGGCGCCAAGATTTTGTGGAATAGGTTTCACACACAAAAATTCTTTGATATCACGCTATCCGTAGTTGACGCTCAAGTATTTGAAAGAAAAAAAGTCACATAGCTTTCCGATAACGAGGAAGCATTGAAAAAGAGAGTGCAGATAAATAAGATAATTACGTAGTCTTCAAAGTAGTGATATTAATTACTATGATTATAATGGTAATAATATTGCTATCGATAATAATGTAAAAAAATATATTAATAAAATAATGATCATAATGATGGTGATGATCATCACTATGAAGATGACGATCATGATGTCCAAGATGATGAACATGATCATGAAGTTCAATGCGAAGATGATAATAATCACGATGACCTAGATGAAGATAATGATAAAAAGATATTCTTGATCATGATCATGATGATCAAGATGATCACGAGGATATTGATGATGATGATGGTGATCATGATCATGATGGTCATGATCAAGATGATCGTGATGATCAAGATCTTCATGGTGATCAAGATGATTATGATCAAGATGATCATGATCAAGATCACATTCATGATGATCAAGATGATCATTAGGATCAAAATCTTAATGATGATCAAGGTAATCATGATCAAGATGATCATGATGATCATGATGATCAAGATGATCTTGATTACGATTATCATGATGATCAAGATGCTCCAAATTATCAGGAAAGGACGCATTGGGTCCTCACCCTAGACGCTAACGTTGTCCGTGTCGCCAAGTCTCTTTTGAGGGAAAATAAAGTGTAAAGCAAAGAAAGAACATGAAAGAACAATAACATGGTGTAGAGAAATGAAAACTACCAGCCATATATCACCAAGAGTGTTAGTCTCACTTGATGTAAATAAAACAAGAAACTATGCGAATCGAAGGCCAGGAATGAGTTGCCATTTTG